AGATAGATAGATAGATAGATAGATAGATAGATAGATAGATAGATAGATAGATAGATAGATAGATACTCGTTGTATTATCATGACTTCAAACTGAAATGTTTAGAAAATACATTTTATTTTAAACTGATCCATTACCTCCCCATGAGTTAGAAATATGATTCAACAGAGATCAATTGGCTCATTAACCATATTTCATATTTTCATTTAATTCACAGTAACTATGGCTGTCAGAGGAACGCCTAGAGTGACTTTAATACCATAACAAAGGGACAGTTTTCAAAGTGCGGAAGCAATGAACTAAAACACTTTTCAATTAAAGAGGATCAGAGTCATTAGATCTAGATAAATAAATGTAGATTCTGTTCTGTAAGGGAGCCAACCGCCTTCACACATTAGCTGGAACTCCCAGCAGAGACTGAGGGTGTTCATCAGATTTAGCAGTGAAATGCATTAACAATACTTCATGTGTAAAACACTGTCGTGTTGCATCAGTGGCACATATTGAACGATTTTATTTCTCCATGACTAAAGAGGATTGTAGTTCTTTGAGTTCTGAAGACTCAACATAACTGTTTATTTTTCAGGTTGCTTTAACAGGTAGAGTCCGGGGCTACGTCTAAGCACTCGGTGGTGGTGTGGTTTTCAACGTTTTCCTCTTGTCAGCCCTCAGAGGCACATCCTGACATTGTTCCCTCGTGCTCCTAATGTCGGCCCAAAGCTCCACTACCTCTCTGGGGCTTCGCTTGTGGACCAGAAGGATGCTGTGGTAAGAACACGGCTCTGCCTCTTCCTTCTCAGTGAAGTCAAAGGTGAGGAAGGCGGGGTGGTGGACTGGATGGGCATTGAGGCGAATCATGCACATTCCCACATAGACGTCATCGATGGGGAAAAGGTGGATTGTTTTAAATATGTTGTGCAGGCGTTGAGCCAGCCCCCCAGAGTACACCACCCCTCCTCCACCTGCATATACGGGATAGCGCCCCCTGTAGAAGCCTTCTGGGATGAAATAATTGGATCGCTTCACTCGATTGGGTGTAGCAGACCCTATGACATCCCCAACCATGAATTCATCCATGGTGCAGCGTGTTTGATGCTGCTTCAGCTGATGCTTGAGGAAGGTGATGAGCTTCGGGGTGTTGACGAAGACGTCGTCGTCCCCTTTGAAAACAAAGAGAGGCTGAGTGCAGCGGTGAGAAAACCAGCTCCAGAAAAGCACGTCCTTCAGAGTCAGGTTGAAAAATGTGTCCTGGAAGTCCCACTGCAGAATGTCTCCATGGCGTTTACTTTCTGCTCTTAGTAAATGGGAGACGTCCATACCCAGCTCCTCTGGGGTTTCCCTGCCAAACAAGAACACCCTGCGGATGTATGCTCCACCTACTTCTCCCTCACTGC